TTTGGTATTCTAATGGTATAAACTCATAATAATGGAAGTATACAAAGAAAATAATGAAAAACATGACATATAATCTTTAATTCGGCTTGAATCTATGTAATATAGAGATGGAGATGGAGATGTACAAACTATAACCATACTATATCTTTTTCACTTACAGAGTCAGTACAGAGAAATTCGGCCTGATTTGCCTGCAAGTATTTTGGCAGCAAAACGAAAGAAATTGCAACCTTAAGATGGATACAAACAGAGGCTGAATGTTATATTTTCCCAAGACATAAATGTTTAAAGGATGGCAGGACAATATATTTGTATTAATGGTATTATAGTAAATTTTACTGAAAATAAAAATTTGGTGAAAAGTGCACTTTTTCTATGAAAATCAGTATTGAGAAACAAAAGTGAGTTGTTGGCATATTATTGAGTTTTAATTTTCATATATTGTTTAAAGCGGGGGAGTCGTCACCTGCTCATGCATCAGATGTTCATAGCGCGTTATTGTTTATAAACAAGAGTCTTTGCATTTTTAGCATATGTTGTTATCGTTGCTTGGAACGCATGTGCAGGTGGCAACCCTCCCGCTTTAAGTAAATGGATTTTTATCTGTATCTCCATGAATACCTTGATATGCCAGGCCAATTAATGGCTCATCTTTTGAAAGTATCAGACAGTGAAAAATTTTATTTATTCACCCGTGGTATGATACACACTTTATTTATTATTGTATTTTTGGCTTTAGATTCCATCCACATAAAATACGTGCAATATCTGGTACGCTGCCATGCAATACAGGGCTTAATGCAATATTCAATATTAATTTTTTTTTTTTACATAATTTGATATTTAAAACTTTACATGTATTTCTGATGTTAAATATTTATTGTCACAGTTTCAGACTGAATTTTATTTCACAGTATTTTCCACATTCAATACCTACCGGTATTTGCCTGAAACTAGTGTTGCATCTTAAATGATAAGTTCTGGGTTCTTTCCTTGTCCTGTTTACAATAATATTGATTTAATGCATGAAGTTGAACCCTAACCAATCATCATGAATGTAAAGCTTATTACAGATATTTAATAGATCAGCTTTACATCAAATATTTGTAAAAACAATTAATCGACTTCCCTGCTTATCACATATTCATACATGCTCAGTGACGTTCCAACCAATTAAATTATACATTTGTAATTGACTAGTAGAGTACGCCAATATATTACATACTTCCTATTGCGTTGCATGTGAGCGGTGTCTGATTCATACGTGCTGCATAGGTGTCTGCTAACTTTGCATACTCTCTGGCCACCATAATTTCATACGCAATATAGATAATGTCAATCTGTCATAAACATCTTGTCCCATCTGTATATGTTTTGAGATGCAACACTAGTGTCGCCGATTTGTTATTATTAATTTCATTACTTTTAGCAATATATTAAAATATAATCTTATGGCCAAAATGGCAATAAAAACAAATTATTCTTACACAGTTATATAATCTTTGCATTTTGGTTCATTCAGTATTTACAAAAATATATATTCAGTAAATTCTATTTATCACGGTTCAGTATCAGATATGTAAATATTATATCTATATTATCCAAGATCTTGAAAAATTTCAAATTCTTGCTCTATCTCAAAATAAATGTACGTACATTGCTTACAACTGTCACTGCCATAACTAGTCATGTACATTATATTACCAAATCTTTTTGAATTTTTCTTTTATTTATTGAAGTCAATGAAACATTTGATAGGAATATCAATATTCTGTTATTCAAAGCTTTAATATTTATTATAACATGCCTTTGTGAAACTTCAGAACGAGAAAATTTTGGGGGGTTAGTAAAGCTTATAACGGACCACTGCTTTTGTAGAAACTAGTTTTTCTAAATGACGATGCCAAATCTCTACTGCATTCATAATTATAATCTGATATTTGAATGGTTCAAGAAAGAGAATCATATGATAATAATATATCTGATAAATGACCCCCCAGTGTGCAGGCTGTAATTTATAAACTATTTTCATTACTTTCTATTTATTTGTCTTCCATTTACATCAATCCAAGATGGACTGCTATTGGCTGTTTATGGGATCACCCATTGTATTCAAATGCTACAACTTTCATTATCCAATCACAATGCTGCTATATATTACAACTGTCCAATCAGTGTATTCCATTTGATAATGTGTTGATGAAATGATTTTGAATAATCACTTGCCAGTAAAAAGACAATTCTGTTATTAGTTATCTATTCTAGGCTGCGTGAATACACTAGAGCAAAAGTCAAAATTCTTTCTTCTATTACCTTGCCATTGTTGTGCTTGGTGTTTTGTATATACTGGAGGTTGCTATGGAAACTATAGAGAACAAACTTCAATTTACAAATGATAACGGTGCTTTCAGAAGGATCTTCTAGTTAGCTGTTATTTCATCTATGCATATTTGTCCGTTTAGTACTATGCAATATTTTATCAACTTTTCCCAGGTTTTCATTATCGATAATGAGCAAATAATGAAAATGTGGTTCAAAAGTTTATTCATGGTTTCTGACATCATACACTTGTCCTAATGTATTTGCATATTTCCCATAATGCAATGTTTGATTTGACAATGATTTCACCAATCAGTGTTTTACTACTAACAGCTGTTAAATGTTACCTTGTTGCATTTTTACAAAATATTTTAGAATCCTTCAAATTAGTGACATTGGTAATGATCGACATGTCACAGAGTTCTTTTATGTGTCGTAGCACTTGCAATTTGATAAAAACCTTCCAGTTTGAAAAAAATAAATAAAAATTGTTGTGCAATACCTACCTATCTACATTTTCATGTTTCAAGGGAAGACGTATTTGGTTATAGACAGTTTTATTACATCTTCCATGCAGTTTTGTATTTCATACTGCAATTATAGACACACCTTGTATATACACTTATTAGTATTTTATACACTTTTACCCTTGATGCTTTTTTATTTTTTGATTAATACTTTGTTACAAGAATGTATTAAAACTGTACCAAGTTATGTTTTGTAAAATGGTTGTCTTGACAATCATAACTCGTGTATGTTGTGCAGATCACTTTACTTGTGAGCAGTTTGTTGTATTTCTTGGCTTACTGTATTCTTGGTATAGAGTCTAATTTACTGTGGTTTTAATGTTATTACTACATACTTGTATTTACGTGATGGGGGTCCGGTTTAATCTTCATTGATAATTTTTATGAATAATAAATGGGAAATGGTTTTAAAAAAAGACAATGTGTGTTATTATTTTCAGGATGATTGTGATGTCATATTATTCTATCCTTATAGGGTGTAACTGGTCGTTAGTAACAAAGCCTGCAAATTTAATGCTAGTATTAATGACAATTGCCACTTACACTTTTTTGCTCTCAATCGCCTCATTAACTGAATTTTTTCAAATACAAGGCTAACATAAAAGGTAGACTTGTTTTTTCCCCCAACTTGTCTCGGCAAAAGGGACAAGTATCCACTTCAATTTACCAGCACAAATTATGGGAATCTAATTTATTTAAGATTTGTTTATATACTACCGATAATGTGAATAATACTATTAAATTTCAGTTGTGATCATGCAAAAAAAAGGCAAAGAAATAAAAAATTGCTAAAACTGGAATAAGTATATATTTTCTTTCTGCGAATTGGAAAGTATTTTCAGATTTCAGTTCAGCATTCATGAGACATAGCGCCCTCTATTGCCACACTGTATGGAAGTCAACTGCAGGGGCGCCATTACACAATCAACCCTCGAGTTTTCTGTACACTATGTAGAGCTATACGAATAGACAATACTTGCAGAATTCTAATAATCCAAGGTGTTGGATTTTACCCCAAGAACTAGAACCGATTCAGTTTTCTATTATATATGTACCTACTTTAATTCAAACCCATGCAAGTTAATTTTACTGACAAAACAGCTTCTGAAAAATCAATCCAAACACATTGGAAAGTTAAAGTGACCCAGTGGTCATAACAGCTTTGCTGTTTTAGGTGTCAATTTATCACAAGGTTCTAGAGTTTGTAAAGGTGATTGTTTCTCTTGTATCCTCCTTAAATTAAGGGTCATAAAATAATGGGAGTGTTGCCAGTGCAATTTTTTTTTGTGTCCGTACATTTTAATTTTGCCAAGAATTTACCCCCACAATTTCAAATGGTAAACCCCTTAGTGTATGAATGAGAGACTGTGGTACCCCTCCCATCTGATTCCCGAGCACAATCAACCATCTTTGGTATTGAACATGAGGTGGATTAGACTAATCAAAAGGTTTTTGATATGCGTGGATTTCGTCCATAAAATAAGCAGACCTAACGAGAGATTATGCAATAGGTGATTGACCTTAGATTTTCACTCATCAAAACTCCAAGTTAAAGCAATAGCATGGCATAAACACTTAGCAGTGGGATAAAGAATGGGTTCAAAGAGAAGTGTAGTGAAAGATCACATTTAAAACCCTCCTCCTTGACCAACCACAATGCTCCATTACAGGACTTTACAAACACTAAATGTCTTGTTTCAGAGATCATGCGACATCAAATATGCAGCAATGACCAAATTTTACTGTGCCAAAAAGAAAGATGGGCTTCAAGCTCGCACAAGAGTCAATCTGACAGACATGCTGTTCATTCAGCTATCTGGTTATTGGCTCTTGGGCAATTTCATTCTTTGAGTTTTCGTGTTCGACCATGAATGTGCATAAATAGATTATGCCCATGCACACATGTTCTGTCATTCACGTGCTGTGTAACAAATGTGCAAGGACTTTTATAGCATATTTCATTTGAAAATTGTTCATAGAACTAACCGACTTTAAAAATACATGAATTTCCACAAAATCTATAGATTGTTTGGGGCAGTGGGTTTTAAAGTGAGATAAGACTCCTGGGGTAAAAAATTCTCCCTGCAGTAAAATGTCTCAGTTTGCAGGCATCATCTGAGGTCAAACTTTATATTTTAAGAAAAATACAACCACTTTCCTTCAGAAGAACAATTTATTTTTTCTGATTTTTAGCAGTGCCATCCATCAATGTTTTAAGTTACAAATAATGTAAAATCTATTTCTGTGCTGCTTTTCTTTGTGCTGTGAGCACATTTACCATTTCTTCCCTCTTTCTCTTTCCACGTTTGTGTGTTCCAAGCTGCAAAAAAAAAAAAAAAAAAATCAATCTCGTCCAATTATTAATTTTAAAAACGCTCACTGTGTTGGATAAGGGCATAAATTGGCCAACTGATTGTCAAACTCAGAGGTCAAAACTTTGTTATGGTAAGTAAACACTTTCTTTGGTTACTTTTGAAAAGAGTTCCTTAAGGCCCAAACTCAAACCCTAACAATCCAATATCATTCAATATGGTCTTCCAAATGTTACCTGAAGAGGGGTATATACAATTGAAATAGGGTGAGAAGCACTGGAGGGGCATGGTTAGCATTTACCATTTTTTTTTTAAGCAAGATATGTAAGATTTATCAGTGATTTGGAACAAGTATACAGCACATTAAATGTGAGTGCATACATAGCAGGTGCAAGAACCCTGGGGAGACCCCCTGGTGCAAGAGCCATGGGGAGCCCTAGTGCAAGAGCCATAGGGAAATGCCCTGGTACAATAGCCCTGGGGAGACGGCCCTGTTACAAGAGCCCTGGTACAAGAGTTATGGGGAGATCCCCAAGAGCACAGTGTATCTATAATTGATGCCACTACTCTGAGAGATTGCCCGCAACACAGACAGGTTTACCGTAACGCTAAAGGAATCCCACCAAGTTTTATTGTGAATCTCTTATGTACTTTTACTATTTCCGGTGTTTATTGACACGTTAAACATAAAAAAAAAACAGCATCACTTTTGAATTAGCTTTGACATAAAAGTAATACCAGAGTGCCAGAGAAATGACAACATACATGACCGACCTCCCATCACTAACCGTGCTGTTAAAGACCAGACACATCAAAGCAAGTTTATCGACAAATCGAACCTCTGTCACCAGAGACACATTTTCCTAATCAGCTATTTATTTCCTTACTGATTAAGTCAGTGCAGTGTTCTCCCCAGGAATTTAAACCACTGTGGTGGGATAATTTGCATATAATTTGCATATCATTTACATAATAATAGAGATTAACCAAAGCACATTTACCAGCCACACAACAAACAACATATATTGTCAAAAACAATGTGGTACATATTTATTTGCTTCATACAGTGTTATAAACACTTCTTTTGAGCACTTATGTAATATTAATGAGCTCAGTCACAGTGCAAATATTTTTTTTATTGAGTCAAAATATTACGTTTCAAAATTTAGAAGAGTTTGGATTTAAAAATTATACATTCTCGAATCGAAATGCAAATGCTGCAGACTATTAAAAACAAGCGATCAAATAAATTGTAAAAGACTAAATGAAACACATTTGAAACATTTCAGCCAGGAATATGTTCTCGACTTCCATGGTCTTATTTACTACAAAAAACATTCTCCTTCAAAAAATTGAACGAACAAATATAACTTCCAAACAATCATCAAAGTTACAACGTGACATAACTTACTTTGCGATGTTATACACCGGTTATACCAATAATTTCTCTTAGTCATGCCATGCAAAAAATGTTACTTCTTTTTTTATATGAAATAAACTTAAAATTTGACTTAGTTTTATCAGGAGCGATTATTTTTGATCACTTGATCACTTCGGTGAAAAACACAGACCGCCATGACAATTGTGACGTATTAGTTGACCGGCATGTGTCCTTTGACCCGATGGGTCAAAAATGCCATAAACCAATCAGAATGCCACATGGTAATGCCGGCAGAACCCGAAGTTTTCCGAATGGTAGTGATTGTCATAAAAATTACATTGCGGAAGTAAAGCGATGTCGTAGCACGATGTGTTGGTATGGATTTCAGATGAAAACTGCATGATTGTTTTCGAAATAGATGATAAGCAATTTTAAAAAGGTAAAAAGAAGTCTTGAAAGAAAAGTTTTTACATGATTCGCGATGATAAAAGTTCAAATGTATTTTACCCAATCACGCAATAAACATGGTTTTTTCTTGAGTAGCGTAAGCTGACCGTGAACTCCGCTTTGCCCATGTTATATTGGGGTGGAATTGATTTTGAAAGAATTTTAGCTTTCAATCTAAAGACTGCGTTGATCTAAGTATTTACTTACGAACAAAGAGGTGCTAATTTTACAAAATTAACTCGTGTTGTTTATAAGCCACTACCACATCATGCGACTACGTCTATTGTTTACAAATTATAATCCACGACTAGCAGGTACATCGGACAATAGTCCTGGTCGGAAGCGTGGCAAGATCCCTGACAGCTACGAATTTTTTTCTATATTTCGTAATACAGTTCACAGGATGAACAATAAAAAAAGCACTGTGGCGGTCTTACTAATCACCGTGGCGGCTCGAGACCACAGTGGCGGGCAGGGAAAGCAGCATGGCAGCCCCGCACACAAATTGAATGCTGGGGAGAACACTGCAGTGGTACAGTTTTAATACTTAGTGAGCACAATTAACCTCGATTTTGAGCATAAAAATAAATAACAGACTCCGACTGAGGTGGATAATTCTTAACGACAGCCATGTTTTTATCCACTGTTGACATGTGGTATGCAAATTACATGCACATAGTTTATGTTCTGGGGAGAACACTAGTCCAAGAGCCCTGGGGATACCCCTTGGTGCAAGAACCCTGGGGAGATCATTATTTGGTTATTAAGATACCTACCCTTTTTTTGACGAACTTGAGTGCTCGTTTGTCTTTATTTACTTTCAGCAATTCCATTGCTCTCCTCTCATAGGGAGAGAATCCACACACTTCACGGACAATATCACGTACAAATTTAACATGTTTACGCACCATCTGTGAAGATATTGACAGATTTTACTTAATTATCATTTAAGTTATAATAAGCAAGACAAATACTGATACATTCTGTATGTAACTCGATTAAGGCCCCCTCACTAATGTTTCTTTTTTTTTACTTTTAAAAAATAAAATGTTTTTGTGCCAGGCGACAGCTCCGGACATTGAATGTCTGTTGTATCTCATGACTTTTTCTATTTCGTAAGTGCAAATTGCAAGTGCTAGTGCTAGTGCTGACACATAGTGCATTTTGCCACAGAAGTTATTTCCTGTTTGGGACTACATGACAGGACTGTGTGCCCATCTCCCTATCAAATGGCAATTTGAATGCGCTATTCTGGCATCAACCGGGCTCGGTCGAACACAAGCACTTGCGGACCTTAGCCAAGGTTCCCCCAAAGTCACATTCGTTAGTGAATGAATCTCGGCCAGTGGAATTGGCCTTCCCATTGAGTCTGTGGCACACTCACCCAGGGTAGGGGTCAACCCTTTTGATGGTCAGCCTAAGGTAGGATTTGAATTTGGGTCTACCGATCACGAGTCTGATGCGACAACCACAATGCTACCAGTGACAAATCCCCTCACCAATGTTCCAAACCACCTCCTCAGTACAGTAGTATCATCAACATTAGTTACCTTTTTCCTAGGTCTTTTCACATTTTTGCTAACTTTGTGTCCCTTATTGAGACCAACACACATCTCATGACGAACTGCCATGGCTGCCAGTCTGCAAAACAAAATAAAACGAATATTTAATTGTTGTAAAGAAAGATATCATTTTATCTATACTAATATGTCACCTTACCAATTCCAATGCAGTGAATCTTTAGAAGTGAGCTCAGAGACACCACTTAAAAAAGTTTCAAAAAGTGGAAGAAATCTAAATACTGTAATTGTTTATTTGGTTGCACATCAATTAAATAAATCACACATGTGTCTTAATATTGGTTTACATTTTCATGCGCTTCAAATACAATACTTTATGTTGAAACTATGGCACGACCATTATTTTTGTTTCACAAATTATGCAAGACACTAGTCTCAAATATTTCAGAAATATGTTTCACTGACAAAGAATTTGAACATTTGTTTTGAGCAGCTGCATTATATAACTGTAGTGACGGCATCTTCAAATTTATCTCACTAGGACATGAAAAATAATTTGTATTATCAGCAAAGTTGCAATATTTGAGAGTTGTACTAATTGCAGAGTTTGTTAACATAAATATTTGTCTTCATTACAATAAATCCTGTCATGCACTGCTGCTTGAATTCTGTTTTTGATTTGGCTGAAACAACAAATAACCTAGAAAGTATGTAATGATCATTCAGACACGGTGGTATCACAAGTAAATTAAATGTTTTATAGGTCATTACATTTTGCTAACCAGCATGCTATGTAAAATAAATGTTTCTAAGATTATAAATATTGAATTTTTTTATTTTTAAATGTATGAGCTAGTTCTTGAATTACAGAATAATTCCATTTTTATCTCTTACATGAAAACAAATCTACATCACTGTTTGCATTTATTACAGTACACTTACTTAGCATGACAAAGAATTCAAACCAAATTTTGCCGACAATACAAAGTTGAGTGTTAAGTGCACGACAAGACCGCTATTGTACATGTATTGTATCTTTAATTCGTGAGCTAGCTCGTACATACATTTAAACACAAAATAGGACAGCGTCAAAGCGTATTTATCACAATAAACATTCTTCGATTTATCACTCCAAGAATGTAAAATTATGCAGTCAAT